AGCTGGTGTCTCAACAGGAATGCCTCTCCTTGTCTTTCAAATGCGTCACACGATATTAAACAAAAAAGGAGTCTAACACAAGACAGAAGTGAAAACCTGCTGCAGTAGCAAAATGAAATAAGAATGAAAGCAAAAAAAGTAGACAACCCTCCCCTCAAGCCCTCTTCCTAAGCACTCTTTGCCCTGCCGCCGCAGCGGGTTCCTCCGTCGCCTGCACCTTTTTTATCACTGAGCCCGTTCCCGCTCCCGCTCCAGTTCCAGCTGTTGATGTCGTCTTCTTCGTTCCCGCTCGAGGAACTGGCGGCCGTTTACTCGCCGCAGAGACCGGACGCGAGCCTGCTCCTTTCTGAGAACCCGCAGCGCCGCCGCCGCCCCTCCCCGTGGTCTTCACAATCGTTGTGCCAGATGACACGTTCGAAACCGTAGAAGCGCCGCTGTTCCTTCGCGTGTTCCTCTGTCGAGTAGCAGGTCGTGATTGTGGTGCCGTTGCCGAGGCTGCAGTTGCTCTCTTCGAAGTTGTCGACGTGGTGGATTTAGCGGTCGTCCTTCTCCGCGTGCCAGTTCCATCGTTGGTGTGTGGCGTAACTTTCCGTGCCCCAGTCGCACCGGTAGTAGTAGTGCCTCTTGTTGATCGCGTTTTCGTGTGCTCCACCACCCCTGCCCTGGCCGGCTTTACCGGGCTCGTATGCTTCAGAGGCGATGACGGACGAACGCTTGCACCAAGCTGCTGCTGTGACTTCCCAGTGACGTTGCGCAGTGGAGATTGCGGGAATGTCCTAGAATTGGAAGATTTCGGCGACAAGACGCCCGTTTCTGCAAACTGAGATAGTACCCGGGGATGCTGCCCCGCAGGATGTGCATTGGGCGTGCCACGCTTCTTGGGGTTTGATAGCGGCACATGCACAGCAGGGGCGGGGTGGCTGTGGTGATCTTGAACCTGAAAGGGGGCGTTCTCTTTACCGGAGGCGAGCATATCATCGCTGATCCACATGTTAGGGACTTGAGTTATTGCTTTAAAATAAAACCTACATCTTCTTCTCTTCGGCTGTGGAAAACTCAATAATAATAACAGAGGCAACAACAAATTTACCTTGTCCGCTTAGCCCCCCGAGTTGTTCGAGTGGTGGTGGCGGCATCATGGCCGTCCGCTGGATTTTTGGCTGTCCCCGTCGCAGCTCTGCTTGAGGATTTGGATGTTTTCGTTGACCCTGATTTTTTGCCTGCATCCACTGCCCTGGTTGGTTCCGAGTATTTTGCAAGCAAGTCACCCATCTTTTCTTTTCGCAGAGCGGTAGGTATGCGATTTATACGTCGCTCAATCCGTCCGCGGAGGTCTTGGGCTTGCAACGCGTAGTGTGCACGGAGTTTGCGTGCCCGTTCAGTGACTGCGATGGGTCCAGTCAGTACATTCTCAGGCTGCGCTAGCGAAGCAACTCAAAAGTTCTCATTGATTAGATTCATACCCTCCAGTTGCAAGTTGTCAATCAAGGCTTGTTTCTGGCTGAGTGTGATCCTCAATCTTTTCCTGGCTGGGCTTCCGTTTGGGGTTCGAGGTGTGCTGACATTGTTGTCGTGTTCAAGCGCGTGGTGGTCGCTAGGTTCGGGGGATTTACGTTTCCTTGAAACGGTGGCCATTCCTTTGGTATCTTTAATTGCAATGAGTAAGTTTCGTCGTATCGGGCATGAACGATGAAGTGGATGAGATTCATGGAGAATTGAGATAGAGACTGGGATTGAATCAACCTGGAGATACTGGTAAACAAACCAGAAGGGGCTAGCGTAACTACGAGTTGACCAACTGGATCGCGATTATGTCATCGGCATTTTGCTCCGCTCTCTGTTGACTGCTGCCACATAGACGTCGGACAAGCAACATCGTCCAGTCTACTTTCCCTATTTCCATTACTTGATACGCAGAGTCTAGCTTTAATGCAACTGCTTCGGATATACCCTTGCAATTGCGGCAATTTAGCCCGTGAACGGGCTAAAAAGAGATATGCACCATGCATCACTCTCCATCAATAAAATCCCTCTGTTTTATGCCAATTCCATAGAGATGCTCTGACCTCAGGAGCTATCAGGCTACTAGGCTAGGCGCCCGCGATAGCGAACTGATATTCCTGTACCCGGAACCTCCCCATATTTTTAATAAAGCCCGCTTTCATTATCGCGTACAGCCTTCCTGCCTGATGCGACAAGCCATCTGCTTTAGCTGCATTGAACCAGAGCATTGAAAAAGCCGCCTGTTTTACATACATAGGGCCCATAACCCTTCTTCTTCGCCCAGATATCCGAATGTTGGCAAATTGCTATGACCGTGAATATCCAGTGCGGACACTTAATTCTCTCTCAAAAGGCGCATCTGCTAGCATCCGCCTTGGAACCCTACTTACAATACCCCGCATCCACAGGCCTCTATATATTCCGTTGGCTATGGCAGGCTTCAATTACTCGGCCAGGTAGACATATCTAAAGTTTAGAGATGTCGACAGGGCAAAGGACCGTTTCACCAAAAGTACTACTAGGTACTGTACATGTACAGGACATCTTGAACCAGATGTATTTCCGCGCACCAGGGTTTGAAACCACCAAAATGTATTTAGATATTCATTGCCTACCTGTTTGCGGAATTTCACAACACTCTAAAGGTTGGTGTATCACGATGTGTTACTATGTAGCTTGAGATCTATCAATAACTCAATGCGGTATGGAATTGAACGAAACCCGACTGTTATCTTAAGCAGTATTGCTAGAGTTCCTTATATATTTAACGTAACAGCTTAATATGGGAGTAGTAGAGAATAAAATGCCAAAATCTAGGGATATGATAGTTACGTGCTTCTCAATATTCTCTAAGCAATGAAGCCAAATCTTAGTCAGCCCCAAGTGGACTGAATTACGCTAGACCCAACCGGGACAGCAACCCAGTCCCAGCCAGAAACGGCAGCAGCTGCGTCAACTCCGGCTCAACAGCAGCTTCGGTTTCAATATCCACTGCAGTTAAACGCCATATATACAACTCCTTGCACCTTTAGACATCTGCCCCATATACCACCCAGTCAGCCTCGTCTCATATATTCCCAAAAAAAAACTGCAGCACCAGGTGCACCCGCAGCCAAGATGGTGCTTGAAGCCACGATGATCATGTCCGTCCTCCATTCTTCATCCCAGATCATACCTATGTGGAGCTACAGCTAATATATGTTTATCTATTTACTACCTCAAACAGTGTGGATAACAGTGAGAGCAGTAGAAATGGAGATTATCTGTATGCTTTTACCACTCGCAAAAGAATCCAGTGGCCCTTGTCTACGAATCGGCAAATCTAACCAGATGGAAACAGTCCCACACGGTTCGAAGCTCAAGCAGACGCGATCAACCTAATCCACTCCGCAAAGACACAAGCCAACCCCGAATCGTCAGTCGGGTTGATGAGTATGGCCGGCAAAGGTCCAGAGGTACTGGTGACTCTGACGGCGGACATCGGTAAGATTCTGGATGGTCTGCATCGAACAAAGATCCGGGGACAAGCGCATCTTGCCTCCAGCATACAAGTCGCCGGCGTAAGCATCATACCAGATCCCTTCTCATTACATATAACATATCCCAACCAGTCTCCTAACAGTTTTCCTTTTCTTAAAAACAAACTAATAGCTAGCCCTCAAACACCGCCGAGAACGCGCGCAACGCCAACGAATCATCGTCTTCACCTGCTCCCCGATTGCTGAGGACGAAAAGACCCTCATCAAACTCGCAAAGCGCATGAAGAAATACAACGTCTCCGTGGACTTCGTGGCCTTTGGCGACCTGGACGACGACACAATTAAGAAACTCGAAGCCTTCAACGAGAACGTCAATGGCGCTGACGGCTCACATCTCGCTGTAATACACCCCGGAGCAAACCTTCTTAGCGACTCACTGCTTACGACGCCGATTCTGGGCGGCGATGGGATGGGTGTTGGGCGCACGGGTGGTGAGGAGGGGGTTGATGATGGGGTTGATATTGGCTTTGACCCCTCTGCAGATCCGGAATTAGCGTTTGCGTTGCGCATGTCTCTTGAGGAGGAACAGGCGCGGATAGAGAAAGAGAGAAATGAGATGGCGGAGAAGGAGAAGAGGGAGAAGGCCGTGTTGGCAGGGATTGCAGAGGGGAGTGAGGAGACACAGCCCCTTCTCGATAAGAATGGGGAGCCAAGTGGGAGCGGAAGTGGCTCGAATGAGGGGAAGAAGGATGACAAGGATAAGAGGGACAATGGGGATAAGATGGATACGGCATGATGAAACAAACGATCTGCTTTGTGGGTTTGTTGTACTCGCTGTACTTAGATATCTAAATCTTCTGTTTCCTCTGCCTTTTCCTAATTTAGATGCATCGTGTGTTGTCAGGTTTTGTTAAACTATAGACCAGACCTAACGTAACGCCAAATATCTAATCCGCCATGCCATTCTATTCAAGTTACATAAAGTGGACTCTGCCCCTAGAGACAGACACATACCCCAAAGAGTGACAAAATCTCTCGCAAAATACTCATCCATAGCCTTCAGCTGGGTATATTATGGTTTTATCCCTCAACCACCACAAAATAAAGCCCTATATTTTATATATATATATATATAGACAATCGCTGAAAACACACACGATCGTAAAAGAAAAGCCTCTGAAAAAATCCAATTAATAAATAAAAACCAAAACAACCCCGCGCCCTCCTATCCCCTCCTATCCCCTCCCCTTCACCCACCCCGCAACGTGCCGATCAAAGGCCTCGCACCTCACTGGCATCTCCAACTGATAAAACGGATTCTTCATCACGTAGTCCGCATACAGTTCGTAGATCTTCCGCATGACGACGTCCACGCCCGCCATCAGCGGGTCCGTGAAGAGGAGGAACTTCGTCCCCGTCACGGTTTGGAAACAGGTTAGGCGGAATTTGTCTGTTTCGAGGACTTCGATGCCGGTGATGGGTTGGGCGGGGTTGGGGACGGTGGTGTTGGATGGGATGGAAGCGCTGGTGACTGTGGGGGTAGTGGACGGGTTTAGAGGGCTGCTGATGGAGGAAGAGGAGGAGTGGGCGTGGGTGTGTGATGGAATTGCTGTGCCTGCGCTTGGGACTGAAGAGGACGTAGTTGTGGGGTTTGTGGGGAGGCGCGGAGTGAGGGAGCGGGTTATTGCGTGGATTCTGCGGCGGCGGGACAGCGGGGAGGAGAGGTGTTAGACACGTAGTTTCTCACAGATGAGGGAAGGAGTGCGGGAGTTATTTCTATTAATCTTTTTTTTTTCTTATTATGATACGCACCCATGAAATGTTCCCGCTAGCACCAGGTAATCATTCGTAGACAGCTTCAGTAGTCCTGACTGGAACTCGCGGTTGTATATTAGACCGCCAGCTTTGTTTATTATGATGAGGGAGTAGACGGTCCTTTAGGTTTTGATTGAACAGGTGGCAACGTTAGAAATGGGCTTTCTTTTCCAGAAGAAGCTGTACCCGGACGTACGTACATGTTTGCTTAACAAAACTCTCCCTGCAATAGAGCTTGTTCGGAGCTCGGAGGAGAGGATGGGGTGGTAGATATCGGAAGCACGGCCGATTTGGTATTTGAATTGGGAGGATGATTATACAGCACAGGCAGAGATTACGTGGGGTTATTATGCGAAATACTAAATTAATTGAGTGAGGGTTCAAGGCGTTGGTAAGTATAGCAGCGAGTCAATGTCGCGGTGCGGTGGTGTTGCAGCGGTTGGGTGGATAAGCGCGATAAGCGTGAGGGGCGAGACTGGCTGGTTCAAATAGTTAAGAGTTACATTTCCTGCACAACTTTGTTTTTTTTCAGAATTTCTACAAGAAAGGAAACCAAAATAAGTAGGGAAGAGAATAAGACCGAAAGGATTTCTGTTGATATCTCCAAATTGCTAGGTGTCTGGGTATTTTATAGTAGCCGCAATAAAAGCCTTCCACGCACGCAGATATCCAACCCTAATATCCGGAGAAGGTACTGTAAAAAACATATAGTTATCTAACTTGTCCTCTACATACCCAGGTTCTCTAGAACCTTAGGAGCCCCTCTCCGTGAAGTTGTGAGGCCTCCTGCTTTCCCCCAACTGGAACGTATAGCGGAATCTAAGGATTCGTAACTGAAGAGCTTCCCCTGAGTTCAGCGAGTCCTAATATCGAGCGAGATAGAAAATCTTCTGCTCCCGCTTCGGATGTGGGTCGTTTCTCGTATCCTCGGTGTTAAAATAGCACATGTTGGCTCGGCATTTCATTATATGCCACGATTCGAAATTAAGATACTGGCCGATCGAAATCGCCTGAATTTATACATGTCCAAGCAAAGTACGGCGGTGTTGGCGGTTGGGCAGAGTCCCGTCCTCATCCTTAAAGGAGGCCTTTGGAAATCGACGAAAGTATGTCCGTAAAAAATATACACATGTGCATGGACATATGCTTCACGGCCCACTTACGAAATCTAACAACTGCAACAACAAGGTATTTTCAACACGACACCCTTCTCTAGGGTCTGTCGCCTGTCGAAATCCACGACACAGCCACCGTTCAATAGACGATGCGTCAAGTCCCTTGAAGTTCTGCTGGGATATGAAGATGAAGGCTTGGCTACAAGGAGTTGTGGATTCATCGGCTGGAGATACAGTGTAGTCACAGTTGGATGTATCGGGGATATCTGGAAGGATAAAACCTTCTAGTTGAAGTGCTGTTAAAGTCGGTGTCCAAAGTGTGCTGAGTGGTGAGGGCGCGTTGGTACTAGTAGTTAATCTAGTATATGAATTGACGGCGTTTGGGGGCCTGGATCCGCAGACAGCAGTTTCGCGTTGATTTGCGAGAGACAAAGAAGACGAAGAAGGTCGTCTCGGGTGGGTGTTGTCTAATTGCTGGAGGGCGAGCATGTTCGGGGTAGCATTGCATCCAATATCTGAAGTTTGCTGATGTGATGTAGTGGCAGGCCAGTCATCTTCCCTCTGAGGAGGGGCAGGAAGAGGGCCAGGAAGTAGAGCAGGTAATTCTCCTACCTCTTCAATCTGCCCGGATACCTGTCTATATCCACCCTGCTGGCCTAAAGGCATCATCCAAGCTGCCGCGTCTATTGAGCCACCACGACCACCACCACCACCACCACCACCACCAGAGTAGCTCACCGCACTCCCCCCCTCAGCCGGTTGATTAGCATGATGAGAATGGTGGCGACGGCGAGACCCGCACTCCATCAATTGGGATTTCAGACTGTCAATCTCTGCACGAGCCTCTTCAAGCAGACGTCCTGTTTCTTCAACCCTTTGTTCCAAGGCAGCTATATACTGGCGACGCCGCTCGCGACAACGGCGCTGGTTGTTGCGCACCCGCGTGAGGGTGTGGGCACGGCTCTTCCTTTGTGATTTGGGAGAGTCATCATTATTACTAGTGGGAGTAGACATGATTCTCTGTAGGACCAACTCAAAAGAAAACAAAATAAAATAAAACACAGATTTCATCCGCTGGAGTTGACAATCCGGATGTTAGAGTATCTGTGCTGCTCACGTCGCTGGTATGTCACCACAAGTCAACTAACTAATTGAAGAAATCGGCGCCAAGAACGGTGACATATCGCTCGGCTCACCATGTGGGGCACTGGACTCGAGACCAAGGACTCGGGATCCAGGCGGAATGAATGCTCGCTGGTCTAGGAATATCATCAAATCGAGAGATAGGGTGGAGGAGCAGATGATTGATGGATGATTGCCTGATCAAGGCTATATTTTAGCCAAACGGATGGAGCCTCTGAAGGAGGGAGGAAGAGAGACCATCTCATCAGCAGCCAGCGATATCTTTACCCTCGATCTTCCAGCCAAGGGTTCGATGTCCGTGTCCTGTAGAGGAAGAGCCACCTCTGCCGACCAGGCACAGGTCCCATACAACTAAAGGTTGCGGAACTGGTGGCGGTCCGGGGTCCACCACAGACGCCGCAGTGACATATCAATCCGATTGACCGCATTCCCAGCATGAAAACTGGAACGAGTGTGGTCTATATAAACCACTTCCATCAACACCTGATGGTGGAATTGAAAATTAAATACCATCTACCGAGAATCAGAGACCCCGCTGAAACATTTGAGCATCAGTTTTGACTTTGTTCAAGGGAAAACCTTGTTTTTGTACAGCATACATTACTGCTATTTCCACGATGGCCGAACCACAAGTATACCAAGACGTCCAGAAACACTACAGCTCCGCTGCCAAAACCAGCGACGACAGATACGGCCACGACGTGGCAACCGCCTTTGGATATTCCAAGGAGGAGCTCGCCAGTATCCCACAAGATGCGAATCTAGGCCTAAGCTGTGGAAATCCTCTTGCTCTGGCGCAATTGAAAGAGGTTCGCCTTCCCCATCTCCCTGCTTCGCGCGTCTAATCCTCGCCCCTTCCATTATATATCTATGTATATATATTCTCAACGTGGACCCCTCATCCATCTCCATGCTGTCTTGAATACAATATACTAACGCAACCATGGCAGGGAGAAACTGTGATAGACTTTGGCAGTGGTGCGGGCATCGACGCTTTCCTCGCCGCCAAAAATGTCGGCCCGAATGGAAAAGTATACGGCGTTGACATGAACAAGGCATGTATGCCCTCAACCACCAAGGCAAAGAAGCACAAAACTAACCCATTTTGGACCACAGGATATGCTTGCCAGAGCAAACAGCAACAAAGAAAAGACTGGTGCCGCCGCAGCAAACGTCGCCTTTGTCGAATCAAAAATCACCGCCGTCGACCTCCCTGGCGCCGTGGCCGATTGCATCATCAGCAACTGCGTCGTCAACCTCGTTCCAGAGGCCGAGAAGCAGCTTGCTTTCAATGAGATGGCGCGCCTGCTCAAACCAGGTGGGCGCGTAGCGCTCAGCGATATCCTGGTTCGGAAGGAGTTGACGCCTGAGCTGAAGAAGAGCGTTGCGCTGTATGTTGGCTGTATTTCGGGAGCTAGCCGGGTGGAGGATTACGAGAGGTATTTGAGGGAGGCGGGGTTTAGTGGTGGGTCCTTTCTGCTTTTGTTTCGTTTTGGTCCGGAGCGGTAGAGCAGATGCTTATATGGAAACATTAGATGTCCTTATTGTCGATGCGAAGAGCGATTTGAACATCTACACTTCAGCATTGGAAACCCCCAAGAACGCCAGCGGTAGCTGCCGCGGGGTAGTGAAGAAGCCCGAGCCGACTCCCTGCTGTGGCCCTACGCCGTCAAAGGAAGAGCGCGGCCCTGGGATCTTTTCTGAAGGATTTAAAGCTGAGTTTGCGAATGTCGATTTTAACGAGTGGGCGGGTGAGTTATCTCTGCCTGGTTCTCGTTTTTTTGGTGATTTAAGGAACTTCAATTGATCAATCCATCCTAACTATCAATGTATAGGTTCCTTTAAAATCTACGCCGTCAAAAACTAGGTGGGGTTGTTTAGGTGCCTCCCTTTCCCGGAGTTCGCGGCCTTGTTGTTTAGCATATTCGATGTCTACTGTCCTCGATTCGTCGACATTGTCTAGCTGAGACGAAGGGTACGAGAGCAAGGATTAACTATATCATCTCTATCCAAGTTGTTAACTGCCACGGGAGCTCTTCAGGACTGTCTTCCATATTAACATGCATTATATCCCATTTGTCCTAATTTGAATTAAATGGGAATAATATATATCCCGTAATTATCTCCTGAAACGTCATGATACAAATTTACAAAGCTAAAAGCTCATTCGTACACGTGAACAAGAAATAATGTAGTGGGCTCCATGCTGTTAGGCCACTGGGCCAAAAGAGCTCAACACATCCAGCCCATCAAGTTGCCAGAAGTCCTAAGTTTCATCCAACAGGGCGCGAAAGGGGGTTAGTGAATTCCACACTGAGCCAGACGACGTCGGCCTACTTCTGATGTTACACAACACAGCCAGAGGCCCAGGTATAAATTAACTCTAAGCAGCATTAACTTCAACCCAAACTATTAGTGAAATTAGGCGTCTTCTTCCAGTGGTGGGCTGCTAGGGCAAAATCCCCTTTCCGAGGGTCAACAGAGCATAATATATATATATATATATATATATATATTAATCCACAATGACTGTTTATATCACTAAGTATACAGGGCGGCTGTCTGGCCCCATCTAACATACAACAGAGGCGAGCATGAGTTATTACAACTAGGAAAAACGGAGAAAGGTATTGCTTCATTATTCCGAAAGCTCTTCATTAAAGTATTGAGACAGGCTGATGCATCTATTGAAGTGCGCAAAACACACACATGGAGTCCATGGAGCAGGGTTCGAAGGGAGGAAAAAAAAAAAAAAAAAAAAGCAACGCTAGGATCGCTTGAAATTTGCGAGGAAATGCTTGCTGAATATCAATTGTCGTCATTAGAGAGGACTCAATTAGTCAAAATATGTAATGAAGTATCAACGCGTCAACTGATGGTCGAAATCCCTAATGCCATTCGCACATGCGACATCACCATTGACAAAATCATGCCTAGAAGATTCACCCTGCCTACCCCCTGAAGCCTGCATGGTTGTAAGATTTTCTTTAGTGACCCATCCAAGATACACAGTCTCATTAACCTGAATGGGCGATCCGTTGATGGGGGGATCACGCGCAAAAGCGGGGTCTCTCTGAATCATAAAGATAGTGCCGTTGCGCTTCTCAACTCGTTTGGCAAAAACTAGAAACCCAAGCCACCACAATGCCCCGAATGCAATCGCCGACCAACTAAGCAGTGGGACGAGATACCAGTGGATTTTGGTGTCGGCGAACCGTTCGAGTTCCCCGCTAGGCTCGACCCAAGAGACAATTACCGGAAATAGGCTCCCAAGAAGGTATACTATGGCCGACATAACGCTGAGTTGTGGGTTGATACCGATGGCTTTTTTTCGCCATCCTTCTTTGCGATTTAGACGGAGGTGAAGTATCCCACCTGCAAGTAGGACTCCGAAAAACGCATGGACAGAGTAAGTATACACTTTCGCAAGTAATCTATAAGTATTAGTTGGTTCCACGCGGTACGTGACCAGAATCAGAACCAAACAAGATCCAAAATGAAGTATCAAAGCCCCCACTGGTGTCTCCTCAGAATGGCCTTCAGGAACGAACCATCTTGACCTGAGCATTCTCCCGAACAATCGCGGTAGGATGGGACGGCAATGGGCCCATCGAAGAAGCCGAGCCAATGAAACGTCGCGATTCATCGCGAAGAACTTCGGAAATGGTAAAATCCCTTCCTTTGCTATTTCTTGCTTCACTCGCGCGGCAGTGTATGTCATCACAACTATATTTCCGAAGCTAGAGACGGCCAGGAAAGTGTTGAATATTCTTTGGCCAGTGTTATCAGCAACGTTGAGTTTTCCGAAAGTTAACTCGAAAAACCTCTCGGCAAGGTTCATTTGTTCATTAAGCTGGTCAGCTATGGGCACAACAGACATCTAGTAGCAATTAGCAGGTGGGATGCGTATTGGCTAAATATCAAAAATACACATTTACGGAAATATCCTGGGTGTTTACATATGCAATATTGACCGCCATGTAAAGTATGCCGACTAGGGAGACAGAAGTGATCATGGATATAGGAAAATTTTGCCTGGGCCTTGAAATTTCACCAAGGATCTGAAACAGTCGCATTAGAATTGAGCGTATCTCCTCGACAAACACGAAAATTCACTCACATAGTTGGGTTGCTCAAATCCGCTGAAAGTGAAAACTGCACGTAAAATGTTAGCAATCTCACAAGGGACGCCGCGAATGAATTAGCTAACTAATCAATAAGAAGGCATTCGCATAGTCATTTGCCTGAGTGGAAGCCTTGCGAAAGGAGTTCTTCGAATTGAAGTTTTTGGCAGCGGCTGATTCGGTTTGTGGGAAAGCCCCTGTGGCAGCAACAATGGCAGTAATGACAATCATGAAGAGCATCGCAAGTTTGATCATGGCCAATATGTTACTCAAAAGAATGCCTCCTCGGCGAGTAAAGGTGTGGGTAAAGCAGGCAAAAAGAGCTACCGCGATGGAAATTGCTCGAACTGCATCGTTGGTCACTTCTGTATTCGAAGCTTGAAGCACCATGACAGCGAAGTTCACGCAGTTTCCTGCAACATTGCCAAACAGAATAAACACCGTGGCGAAAGCAGTTACGGAAAGTAGCACGGTGCCCTTGCGATAATTCGGTTTCCGGTAAACATACTGAAGCTGTAAATTACTCAGTGCCTAGTCAAGTTGAAGCCGCGTGGGTATAAAATATGGGAGCTTACATAGTTAAGGTCGCCTCCGCTTCGGGGAATTCCTTGTGAGACTCCTTGGAAGCGATGTCTTGGGATGCTGAGGCCATATTCGATGTACAGATGTACTCCTGCAAGGCAATATAGGAGGCCGAAGAACCAGAATAGAAGGGAGACCCCAATGCTTCTCGTTCCCTGAACGACTAACCCAACAGACGAAAATATGCCAGTGCCTGGCAAACATAACCATAGATATGAGCCAATTGGTTATGGATTCAGGTAGTGAGATGGAGAGACTCAAAGTGCAATAATGGTGGTGGAATAAAGGCGCACCTATCATTCTGTTGATGACAAGACAACCAACGTCCAGAGGGCCCAACCGGAAAGGTTCTTGAGGAGCATTAGCGATAATGACATTGAGATTATTATCAAAATGAAACCGCTGGAACCGATCACGGTCGCTGTCAGAAGTACGAGGAGAATCCCCATTAAGTGCCATTGATATTGCCATTGCTGCAAGCTTGATTTGCAGCGCAGCACGTAGCCAGGGGCGACGTTTCAGAGAGACAGCATGGCAATCAGCAAAGAAATAACTCCCTATTTGTTCTCTTAAAAAGGAGTAGAGCGAGCGAGGGGAAGCGAATCAATGATGTCTGAATGGAAGAGCCATGATTGTTGCGACATTGCTCGCATTGACTCTGTTGGGCAACCGCCAGTGCAGAGCCGCATACCAGAGCTCTCCTTTCCATATTTCTCCAGTCAAAATATCCAGACTGAACCCTGGAGAGGGTTAGCCCCAGCATCCGGCTGGTTGATGAGCATCTGTCCACAGGCCAGTTTGCAGGCGTTGGGTTCTCGACACCTGACATATGTTGAACCATGCTGGTCATCTTAAATATTTCTGTCAAAACAAAGACAACAGGCAAACCATCACAGTCACTCAATGTAAAAGGAGGGTGCTTGCTGCTAACTAATTACTAAGTTAGTAAATACTAGTTATAGGTGGGTTGGGTTACAGTGTGTTTGAACCCAACCCTCACAATAACCTGGTTATATGCAGAGGTGCAGTCACTCAGTCATCAACATCACTGCATATAATCTGATTATTGCTGGTGTGTGTTCAATTTCATGTTCATATATACAGAATACTTGTATTTAGTAAGAGAAATACTATTAAATTCAGATACATGTGATTTTGTATACAGAAAGTTATATAATTACTAGCTAAATAATCTACTTAATTTCATTTCTACTAAAGAGCTACTAATTTCAGATACTGTATAGAAGTATAAATCAACTATCTGAGTATTATATATAGTCTGTATAACTAAATCTAACTCTATAATAATATATATACATCTATAATAATAATAAAGAAATGAAGATCAAAGAGAGATAGAATAGAACAGAACAGAAAAATAAAAGTTTTATATATACTCTATTTAATAAAAATGAAATTATTCTGTATATTAGATTAAATATTATAATTTATATCATCTGCTGCTGATATTTATAGTTATAGTAACTGTTTATTATAAAAATTATTATATATATCAGATTGATCTGCAGAGTTATAGAGAAAGTAGTATACTATATAATTATATTATTTATAGTTGATATATATTTTTTCAAAGTGATTATACACACAGCAGTATAATAAGAACAGTTTAAACTCAGAGAATATATAATACTATATATAGTCTGTGATAAAAGTTTTATTACAGAATTAAATTAGAATAATATTTATATACAATGAATAATAAGATAATACTTAATCAGCTCTAATATATATATAGATATATAATATATCAAAGTCAGAGATAATAAATAGAGTATAAAATTAAGAACTATAATAAAATATACTCAGCTGAGAATTGCTGATATATATTATATTATACTTTGATTATTTCTGTTATTTATTTTAATATTCAGTAGTTGAATAATATAAATTAATCAATTCAGTCTGAGTCAGATTTCACTGAGTGATAATAGAATTATATAAAATAAAAGTTTTTATATTATAATCAGCTTTCTATACTATACAGTAGAGAAGTAGAGAAGTATTTATATTATTTATAAAAAAGAGAAGAAGAAAGAGAAAGAAATATTATTGAAGAATAGAAGAGAGCTGATTTTTTTTTTATAGAAAAAAAAAATCAAAAATTTTCTCTGATTATATATATAAATCTCTATCAGTATTTTTCTTTTTTAATATAATAAAATAAATATTTTATATAGTATACAGAGTGAAAAAAAGACAGAGTGAATAATAAATAAATAATTTTGATGAATTTCAATAAAAGAATAATAAATTCTGATATAAAAAAGATTATATATATTAGTAAATAATAATAAAGAAGCTGAAGAGAGAAAGAGAAAAGAAATTGAAAGAGAAAATAGAGAAAAAAAGAATTTTATAATCAATTTATTATTATTATTATTATAAATAAAAAAGAAAAGCAGAAATATCTTGTATATAAAAGAGAAAAAAGAGAAAGAGAGAATACTCACTTTTATAAATTCTGTTGAGACAGTCTGTGTGTATAAATAAATAAATATTTAAAATTAAAAAATATATAATATAATATAGTTAATATACACAGATTATCTTCTTGTTCTTCTGAGAAAGATAGAGAGTTTATTCAAACTTATTTTTAATTATATACATATCAATTCAAGCTTCTTTATAATCTCTAGAATAAATTTTGATTTTAT